TTTCACATAGATATTAATTATATTAATAATAATAATCAAAACACTAACCGATAGGCAGTAATGAACACAAGTTTTATTGAGCCAACATTTGACTCATTTATTAAATATCGAAGAAAATTCAGTTTTCCATTTTAAGCCAAACGTACATATTTCCGAAACATATAAATGAGATATTTAATTTTCTGTTAGGAAATATGCTTTAACGGTGAATTTAAACTGATTTAATTTTATCTCCTTATATTCAATGAAGAACTGTAAACAGACATTTAAAGCTTGAACATTTCACAGGTTGAAATCATGAGTCGGTTGAAGCTAGACCACCAGGGAAAACCTGGAAGCACTGAACGGCCGTTTCGTCCTAGCATGGGACTTCTCATTAGTGCGCATCCACGAACCCTCACCCCGCAGGACTCGAACCCGGGACCTACTGGTTTCGCGCGCGAGCACTTAACAATTGGATCACTGAGCCGGCATCCAACTGTGTTAATGTCTAACTTCAACCAATCCACGAAGTTGCGCCACCATATACCATTGTCTTCAGTGAGCTGATATCTCACAACAGACCTGGTTGAACTCCACTGGTAACGGCTTCTCACCGATCCAATACTTTGTACTTTTAATACCTGTACAACCCGATACCATATTGAACTGAATTGAAGAAATATAATTACAATTGAAATCCAAAGTTAATATATATGCGGTACTGAATCTTGATAGAACAATTCTTTTTCTTCAAAATCTAACAATTCAGAATCTGATTTCAAATTAAATATTAAATGTGTATTGCTTAAAATGTTTCAAATTAAAACAAAACTGGTTGTCTAGTGTTTTCTAGTCTCCAATGACTCTTCCGACAATTATCATTTCAAGATGGAAAAAATAACATCCAAACTCAGCAAATATCCGTGAAAAACAATCTATTCAATTTTCTTAACTTTAAACTTGATTTAAAACATTATTGAACACTTTTAGGTGGTAAGTTAAATCAAAATAAAAGACTTTTCATACAATAATTAATCATTGAATACTCATATTCGTTTATTATAAACAAATAAAGAAGTTGTTTACTTTACAAAATGAAGAAGAAGAAAAAAAAAACACAACAACAACTGTACTTCTTTTAATCAATAAAATTGATTGATTCAATAGATTTTCAATAATATTCTATTTATTTTCATTGACATGAGTCGATAGGTTAGATAATAAAAATGTTTATTACAAATAAAATAAGAATCTTAAATTAAAAGAAATAAATGTAAAAATGGTGTTTTGAATGAAAATGATCTCGTTACACATGGATTCATTCTAAATAAACTGAAGAATCTAAACTTTTATGAAACAAAAAAATACCGGAAAGGGGTTTTTTAGAGATTGTAGTAATTTCAATAGTTGAGATCATGTGTTAATTGAAGCTAGACAACCATGGAAAACCTGGAAGCACTGGATGGCGGTCTTGTTCTATGGTGGGACTCCTAAACAATGAGCACCAACGACCCTCTTTCTCGAGATTCGAACCTAGGACCTATCAGTCTCGCTCGCGATCGCTTAACCACTAGACCACTGAGTCTGTATCTAAGGGTGTTAATTTCTAACTTCAACTAATCCACGAAATCGAGCAACACATCTACCGTTGTCATCAGTGAGTTACTATCTCACAACAGACCCACAAAAGTCCCACAACAGGACGGAATGGCTGTCCAGTGCTTCTAGGTTTTCCATGGTGGTTCAGACAAATAAATATTGATGATTTATCACTGAGGGTATTTAAAAACTTGATTGCAAGTGAACTGATGAAATAATTATATTATATATTTTAAGAATTAGTTCAAGGTACGGATTTTCTAAAAATGAAGAACTGTCAAATAAAACTTTAATTTTGATTTAATTATTTCTAGTTATCAGGTAAATGGGTTTTCATGATACTCTAAAAGATAATTATGGTTCATAATGAATATTATTACTCTTAGTGAATAAACATCAAGTAGTAATCTGTGTACTGTATGTTTAGCCCATAGTGATAACAAATTTTTATGTATCAATTTGAGTAGCAGCCACCAGTCTAAGTGAGTTGATAGTGTTTATACTATATTTTGATGCTGGTTGGTTTAAGATAATCAATAGGGTATTGTAGTTTTCATTAGCAAGGTGTATCTACGATATTGAAGAAAATGACGGCCTATGCGAGCTTCAAACCTACATTATCAAACTTTTCATCCAAAGACTTTATCATCGAATTATTCTGTCTGAAAGTAATCTCTTCAATAAGAGTGAAAAGCTTTTGATATATTCTTCGATAAATGCACTGATTTACTTGTCTTAGAGATGTCGCTAGAAAATAATTACGTCAATACTTATCCACATGGTTAAATAGCATTTCGGCATTATATTTGACATCAGTTTGTAATGAAAATCCTAACCCTAACTTCTAACTCTAAATCCTAAACAATACTTCTCATACTAATTCTTAACCTTTTTTCACCTTAGTAAGCAGGTTAATTTTGTCAGGGCCACTCTAGCGTCTCTCAAAGGTTGATCGTAAATTAGTCTCACCAAAACCATCTCACACTTTGGATCTAATCCTATTAAAATAGTTCATTTCAACTGATGGCAAACACTCAACAAATAACATGATATCAGGAGGGGTTTGTGGAGATTTTAGAAATTTTCACAGATTTAAATCATGAGTCAGTTGAAGCTAGACCACCATTGAAAACCTGGAAGCACTGGACGGCCGTTTCGTCCTAGTATAGGACTCCTCAGCAGTGCGCATCCACGACAGCGTGGGATTCGAACTCAGGATCTACTGGCTTCACGCGCGATCACTTAACCACTAGACCACTGAGCCGACATCCAACGGTGTTAATTTCTAACTTCAACCAATCATTTGCTCACTAGTGACTGACTTCAAGAGATACTCCTGGAGTTCTAGTGGGAAGCCGTTACCAGTGGAGTTCAACCAGGTCTGTTGTGAGATATCAGCTCACTGTAGACAATGGTATATGGTGGCGCAACTTCGTGGATTGGTTGAAGTTAGACATTAACACCGTTAGATGCCGTCTCAGTGGTCTAATGTTTAAGTGCTCGCGCGCGAAACCAGTAGGTCCTGGGTTCGAGCCCCGGGTGGTGCGGGGTCGTAGATGCGCACTGTTGAGGAGTCCCATACTAGGACGGAACGGCCGTCCAGTGCTTCCAGGTTTTCCCTGGTGGTTTAGCTTCAACTGACTCATGATTTCAACCTGTGAAATTTCTAAAAATCTCCACAAGGTCCTTCTGATAATTATCATCAAATTATCAAACTGAATTTAACACATACATGGTTGCTGAGCAGTACAACTTAAGTGCCCTCAAATGACTTGGTACGGCAGAGGGCACGGAGAGTCAGCTTTCCATCTTGAAATGCTCCCATATGGCTACGCGTGTACAACCACTAACAGGAAAGTTCAACACACTGCCTTCTCGTGGCAGGGGTATTGTTTACGAAATTGAGAGGATAAAAAACGAATGTCCGTCGCTTTAACCGGGTCGATGGATACGGACAGTCCTTCTAGGGAAGTTAGAAAACCCTCATTCCAAACCAGTGATGCACATGTGCTGCAGTATCCTGAAGGAACAAATGGCGTATGAACCAATCGTTTGTCACTGGTTACCATGGAATTGCATCTTCTGACGTTGCTCCACTGCCTTGTGGATCAGACCTTTAGGTCAAAGGCTCCGGGTGTGGCTCCCTAAGAAAACCACCTGCTTCGGTTTGAGCATTCAGGCGGTATCACAGCCCACACAAAAATCAAGTGACTTGTGTAGCTTATATATAATCGATGCCCCTTTTACCAACATTTATGTGTTCAAATAAATAAATAAATAGACAAGTTAAATGCAGAATAACTTTAAACAGTGAGTAAAATTTTCTTTCTAGTGTATGCTATCATCAACTGTATATCAGAATAGTTTAGCTATAGTCAGTATGATTATTATATCTCGTTAAGTTTGTACTCTACTTATAAGTAAAAGATAGCTATTATTTACTTGATTTAACTACTGTGTTATAAAAATTTGCATACTTGTCAATAAGCGTAATCTTATTGTTTACAACTACTTGTTTCAAGGTCAAGGTAACACAAAATGAAAAAGTACTAGGATAACAAAAACATTGTGGTTATATACAGTTTTTTGTTTACTTAAAAATTATATACTTTACTCATGCTAACATTGTTTATCTAAAAAATTTTGATGTCTTTTTCAAGTTTATTAATCATTGAGAAAATTAATGGAAAGCAACATACACCACATAAAAATCTATGTATAAATTAATGATAAATTACTTATGTACTATTAAGAAGTCCTTTATATAGAAATAATATAATTCAATTGAAAAGTATTCAATTTATAATTTACTTAATGCAAATGTTTATTATTAATACCCCCCCCCCGAATGAAACGAAAATATCTTTAAAACAAGTACATTACAATTCTACCTTGGTTACTAGGTTGTATTTAATAAAATTAATATCATATTGAGTTATTGAACATTGAACCTTGAAATGCTTTTTATGTTTCACTGAGGTAATATGTAATATTCAGTCAATCGATAATATGAATTATATTTTTGGATAATTTAAATTATATGTGTATAGGATAGCATTCCCCTTAAATCAATAACAATTACAAATCAATGATATATATATTTTTTAAAAGATTTCTATGCATATAATCCCCTTTAATTAATTTGAACAGAGAAGGAACGAAGAACTCATTTCTGATTCTATATGTCATAAGCAAATAAACCTGATAATGTATTGTCTTGGAAATGATATATCAAATTTTAGTCAATCACCTCATCTTCAGCCTTATACACCGAAGTAATCAGTATTTCTTCATTTAGAAAGAACAACCTCTAAAGTTGTCATCGACAACAAAATCAACACTATTAATATTTTAAGCAATCAAAAACATTTATTGACTAATATTTCATCTATAAAAATTTATTGTTACTTTCAATTTACCTAAATCTTCAGACCAATGGACAGATTTTTGCTCTTTTCCTGAAGTTGTCCGTGTCTGATAATCTGCTTTATTTTTAAAGTTTTTTAATCCATGATTAAAATTGTTAATGTCATTACTGTTAGTTACTGAATTCTCCAAAAGATTTCGACCAATACATGATCCATTATTACACGACATCGTATAACAGCTTCTATTATCTTTACTTGACTGAATACCAGGCTCATGTTTCTGATATTTTGTATTCCGAATATCTGTGATAGTTTCAGGATTATTAATATCATGTGATCCAGTTGAGTTGAGGAAATTTATTGTTCTCTGAGGTTTGTTCAGATGGGAATCGTGTTGAGCTTGTTGTATATGAGATAAATTTGTCTTAGGTGAATAACAATTTCGTTGTATACTGTCATTTACCCTGTTTGTTGAATAACCCGTCCTTGTGTTTTGATGTATTGCATTTGTTAATTCTGCTGAATGCCTGTATTGTACTGATGTTTTGTTATTTGGCTGACTGTTGTTATTATTGACAGCGTTTCGATAGGTCTTGTCGTCACTGACACGAGTTTGATGTAAATCCTTGATCATTGAAAAAAGAAATGTGTATAGTAGTAATTAGATCATTCTCATCAAAATAAAACATGGTTTCTTTCATATTTCTACTAAATCCTGCTTTTTTATTTTCACATTCTTTGAAATCATTATGCTGATAAGTAAAAATGCCACATAGTGGCAGACCTGTTGAATACAATGATCTGATTTAGCCAATCAAAAATCTGCTTTGATTTAATTGGTTAATTATTCGTTATCCTTCAATGTCACTACTTAAATCCCAATAAATGAGTAGAATAATTTGTCTGCTTTATTGAAAGGCTTACTGAAGACAATTGAAGCTTAAAAGATAAGTTTTTGTCTTGAGTATTTAAGTATATACTATATATTATGTTCAGCATGAATAACATCTGATTAAAACTTTGCTGTTTAACGTCCCCAACTAAAACGGAACAGCCCTTTAATGCCTTTTAATTATCACTGGTTCCCAAGTGATGTGGATTCATGATATTTATTAATTTCTGGCCTTTTTTTAGTATACACAGAACATAGCAGAACAAAAACTTTTATCGAATGATTTTGTTCAAACTGCACTGATAAGTCAGATGATAATTCTAAGCAAAAATATCTAAGGTGAATTACAAATATTGTTGACTGATCTGAACTCAACTGTCTGAAATTCTTCTGAATTCTTTTACATTTGTTGTTTTAATGTTCTTCATTATATAATACTGAAAATGTAATTCAACATTTATTTCTTTAAAACGAAGGCACATATAATGGCTTATTATCAAGCCTATAATACTCATTAAGATACTCCAGTTAACTGACTCATGATTTCAATCTGTGAAATTTCTAAAATCTCCACAAAACCCATTCTGATAATAAAATTAATGTTTATTTATTGGGTAATAATAACTCTTGGTGAACTACCAGTTGAATATTAATATAGTTGTGAATGACTGGAAAAAACAGTAGTCTTAAATCCATTTGAATAGACTGATACTATTCATTAAATCAAAATATACCACTTGATTTTTATGGCTTAAATCTATATAATGCTGTGAAACACTTTCAAACAAAACAAGTGAACATAATGACAAAGTTATTAGGATCATTAAAATAAATATGGAAAGTTAAATCAGTGGATTTCTAATCAGAATAGGGTTTGTGGAGATTGTAATAATATTAATAGTTGAATTCATGAGTCAATCTAAGCTAGACCACTACTGAAAACCTGGAAGCATTGGACGGCCGTTTCGTCCTAATATGGGATTACTCAGCAGTGCTCTTCCACGATCCCACACCAGAGGGACTTAAACCCAGAACCTTGGGTCTTGTGTGCGAACGCTTAACCTCTGGACCGCTGATCTGGCGTCCAACAGTGTTCATGTCTGACTTTAATCGACTTCCAGCATGCATATTTTACTAACAACTCTTGTGTGATGGGCTTTTTTAGGGGAGAAATGAAAGTTACTGGAATAACGTTTTTTGTTTGTTGGCAGTGATCGTAAATGAATGTCTAAAATATCAAGAGAGTAGATGCTTACACTTTTGTTTTGAATCCTTGTCACACAGTTAGATACACTCAACTCAAACAATATGGAATAAAAATGATCTCCTGCAGAACTCAAACATTTCAATCAACTGATCAATAAAGTCGTTAATACCATTCTATTCAAATCCTCACAGCAATCAAATTCTTTTAATCGCGAATAATTCTTTCTAGTCTTAAGTAAATAATTCTTCAGAATTGGAGATCTAAGTGAATAAATTATATCTTTTACCCACATACCACATAGGACTACTGATTTACAAATGTGTGCAGATTAAAAATTGAGTTCAAGGAGTAAGTGTGTGAAGTGGTCAACTTTTATCCACGTGACCATGATGACGGATTTATTTATAATCCAGTCTTCTAGCATTTTTAAACTATTAACATTTATCACTCCCATTTTTCATTTAATTGTGTTATCAATTAATTCTTAGCCTTGAATAATAAATTGTATATGATATTTTACCACCTCAATAATTAATTGGTTTACTTAACTAGTAAGCTATATGGTATATACAAGTGTTGCCTAATCAGAATACTTGGCGAAAAGGTGAAAAATGTAAACTACGTATTGTTTTCATCAATTTCTTTCATGTTATTGTCTGCATTTTTGTATTTATCGAATTGAATCTACATATTTATATTTTGGAATAATGTAGTGTAAATAGTAATTTAGGATTTCTATTACCGTTTCGTCTACCAAAGTAATAATTAATCACTGTAATAATAATAATAATAATAATAATTATTATTATTATTATTATTATTATTATTATTATCATTACTGTGAGAATGAATCACAATAAAATTAATGTTCTTCCAATGTAGAGTTAATGAATAGTTAAGATTCGTTGGAAAATTAATAGTTTTTACATATTACATATTATTGTAGACCAGGCATAAGATTAGTAAATGGTAAATGTCGAAATTCCGTCTGGATTCTTTTAAAGATAAAATAACACAGATACATATATTTTTGATTAATAATATTGAAAATATTTTGATTCTTATGAGGTGAACACCTTTCAGCACACACTAATATATATATATATATATATATATATATATATATATATATATATGCTCCACTAAGAGGGGCAACATGTGTAAGTAAATATTATAATTACAGAAAACTATAAGTGAAGTAAATTTAGGAAATAATTGATATTAGCGAGGTGAATACATTAAGCAGGTATCCCTGAGCCTAACGTTCGTCCTAGCCAATACTCAGCTATCAAGTAAATCTCTAGTTTTAAAGGAAGTTTCGCCACTCATGTTGTTTGAATTTGAGTCAAACGTGTCACAGCTGGCCGTTTTAGTGAAACTTTTGTTCTCACCGAACACTGAGTGAGTTTCATGTTTTCGTGTTTAGTAACAATCAAATTACATTGATGAAGTTGCATTATGGTCTAAACTTCTTGGGTACTACATTTTGATTATTAGAAAGTCAAGAACTATTTATCCTGTTGGTTGAAACTAGCCGTCAAAACATGAAAACAATATATTTTTAGACTATGCATCCAAAATTAAACTCTAAGGACCGTATATAGAAAACTAAAGCTTCAATTTAAACAATAAATTGGCAAACGCTAAAGGTTAATAGCCAAAAATCACCATTTTTATAATAATTAACAGAAACCACGTTAGTTTTCATGATATAGGCTCACTTCAATGCAATTTACACAAAAACAGTACACATAAAAAATTTGGAATAAAATAACTCTAATCCCGTATTTGTCATGGGCTTAAATTATATGACTGGTACTGTTTTTTTTACCTGCTAACATATACAGGTTTATTACGTTATTCAGAATTGTTCTTTAATTCTATGATTTTCCCCTTTATGATGTGTAGACGAATCATTTTAATTTAAAGAATTTAAGAAATATTTTCTATAATAATTATTTAAGTAGAAAAGTAGATAACATTTAAAGTCAATAAGAACCAATCAACATCGAGGTGCACAGAACAAGCTGCGAAACACATATAGAGAAATTCGAACACTTCTATCTGAAGTTTGTGCTGATGATGTCGTTCAGAAGAACGATGAAAGCTCCACGACCAAACCATCCAGCTCATAGAACAAAACTCCACCAACATAATCACTTTATTTCATAACAGAAGTTATTTCTTTTTCCGAATATATTGTGATAAGCACATTTGTAATAAACTATGTGAGTAATGAATAACAATAGCTTTTAACAAAACAATGTATTTTCCCTATCTCAAAAAATTACACCAACCAAGTGAGTGCTTACTTATGCAATTTCATACCTATTTGTATTAAACAGGGAGAAAATATAAGCAAAGATAGATGGTGGCTTTCAGTGAAATCCAGGAAGTGCAATTCATCCTATTTGGAACTCGTCAGCTGGATGTACCCGTATCGTAGAGCTGATATTCACTCCAAGATTCGAACCCAGTACCGTTCGCTTCAAGCACCATCACGTTATTTATTTATTTACTGAGTCCTGATATCTTTTAGTGTTTGTGACTATAGGCAATATTGAAGCAATTCACACAGAATGCAAATATACCAATAAAAGACTGATCAGTTGTAGTCCTAAATATCAATCTAAAGTTTCAAACAAACAATATAAAAGGAAGGAAATATGTTTCATATTTTAATCATCAGCTGTATTTTTAAACTTTGCCTTTAATCTTTTAATTGATTCTCATATGTAAGTTTTATCACATTGTGTCATGAAGAAAGCATTAGAATTCCACAAAAAAATGTTTAACTGATATTGATGGAGTTTTGTTCTCTGAGCTGGGTGGTTTGGTCGTGCCTGATATGCATTTTTTAAAATGTTACCTATTAGAGTGAGTGTTTTTTAGCCAGATAGTTTTTATTTTACATCAAGTAAATTCTTTAAAAAATTAAAAATATTTTTTTCTTGTTTTAAATAAGATATTAATAAAACTGATGACAATGGTATATGTGTCGCTCAATTTTGTGGATTGGTTGAAGTGAGACATTAACACCGTTGGATGCCGGCTCAGTGGTCTAATAGTTAAGTGCTCGCGCTCGAAGCCAGTAGGTCCTGGGTTCGAGCCCCGTGTGGTGCGGGATCATCGATGCGCACTGCTGAGGAGTCCCACAACAGGACGAAACGGCCGTCCAGTGCCTCCATGTTTTCTATGGTGGTCTAGCTTCATGATCTTAACTGTTGAAATTAATAAAGCACTCAACTAAGAGGTTGAGTAAAACAGTCTAGAATATTTAAGAAAATTTATCAGTTTCTTAAAGAAACTTAAATAGTATGATGTATATGGTAACCGAAAATAATAACATTGTTTAGCTTAGTTAGAAGAAAAAGCACAAAAAAAGGATTTCAATATTGACCTCCTCTGTAAACAACTGAAACAATCGATTCGGGTATACTATATGTGATGTTTAAAGTTCATCTTTAATATTTCAATTGTTCCTTTCTCTTCCATTTTCTTTCTTTCTTTTTTCTTATTTTTGTTT